ACGATGTGCATGATATTTTCTTTAGCTGATGACGAAAAATGCGATGAAACGTTTGGGATGTGTTCAGTCCCAGGGTGGTGAAGATGCGATACGTGCTCATCCATTTTTCCGCGACATCGACTGGGAAGCGCTTGAAGCACGTCGTGTTAAACCGCCATTTAAGCCCAAGATTGTGAGTGTTTTCATGCACATCGTTCACTGAGTATAAGCTTAGAAGTAAAAGGACTGTAAAGAAGAAAGACTTAAAAAAGTATCCTATTGTTTGGGGAGTTTCTATCATTTCCACTCGTTACTGTTTATAAGTCTTGCGATAAAAGTGTTGAATCGTAAATTAAAGAAAGTCTTGCCACTGTGCTTAAAGGGAACTGTTAAAAACCCTTCTGCTAAAATTCCTAAAAAAAAATGCTACTGAAAAAATCTTATATACACCACTTTGTTTAGGCAAATCCTCCCAAACTATTTTCGACTTGTTTACTTTTAATAGTCGCGTTTTCCCTCCATAGCTTTACAGTAAAATTCGGTGTAATTGAAAGGCATATTTGCATGCCAGCCTTTAAGAAACGTTATGATTTGTGTATTAATTACACCAGTAACTTTTAAAATTTACACTCGACACTGATGACTCTTTTATAGATAAGTGCTGGGGAAATTCTCTCCTTTTCACAATTTGTAAAAAATTCCTGCCTCCACATTTTTAACAGTACACTTCCTGAAAACGATCGTGATGCACAACTGGAAGAGACGAATTGTGAATCGACGAGCCTGCGCGTGCAAAGGCAGGTTGCAATTCGAAATGGCGATCCCTTAACCAACTGTTCGTTTTAAGCTGATGGAGCTTCGGACGGCCAGCGTCAGTGACTGTTCAAAAGTAGACGTAGAATGAACCGATGACTACGATACGTTCAGATCCACAGCAGACTGCTGTTTGTTGGACAGTGTATAATGAACCACATTTCTAGAAGTCTTTGTATAACAGAGACTTGTGCCGTGCTGTAACTAGGCTTGCGTTTCTTCCGTTGTTCAGTAAGCCTAGTTCGGAAATTACAACTGCAGCCCGCTTTGAGAATTGAGGTTTTAAAGACCAATTGTTGGAGCGAAACAGAGTTAAATTTAGAAACCATTTATTGTGTGTGAAACATTGTAAGTCACATTCTCACAATTTTAATTTCTCGCACTGTCATTTTTCGAGTGACGTCATTGGATCTGTTGCCAAAAGTCAGTTGTGATGATACTTGCAGGGAATAAGATAGTACAGAAAATGTTTTAAAAGTGGTCCAGTAAATTTTAACTTAAAGAAGATGAATCATTAGTTGAATATTTGCTCAGCACAGAACTCGATTTTCGAATTATTGGGAAATACATACTGTTTTCGGAACAGCGTGTATCTGCCAGCTAGAAGCAGTTTAGTAAGCAAAACAAGGCAGCTTTATGAATGGAACTTCCATAGGTCAAAGCGGTGTAACTTTTAACAAAAAAGGAATCAACAGCTAGACAGAAATAGGATGTATGGAGGAAAAATAAGTCAGTCTAGCCGCTAGAACTTCAGAAAACACTCTCTCAGCATCTTTTTACAGCACGGTTCTGCGGTTAAATAGAATATCTATACGACCACATAGGCGAGCGAATGTATGGACGATGGTCATTCCACTGTGCGATTTCTTCAAAAAATTACTAAAAAAATCCTGCGAGTATCAGTAATGACAGAGTAAAGATGCAAAACTTGTGTGAGCGTGGTGGCCGTTTTGGCACGCTGGCTAGCAAGAGGCTTTGCCGTTATATGCAGCGTAAGGAAAAGAAAAACAAGTCGCGTACGCATATCACGGAGAAATACTATCAGTTGCGAGGGAATAGCCGAGGTCCGGTGTGACGAGGTTCTCTAAAAGTAGACTCTTTTTTAGTAGCGTTGTACAAGATGTGGGACGTGCATGAGGCGAGCCAAGGATGATGATGCTGATGATTGGTGCTACCGACGCCGATGATGCTGATGACCCAGATCCCGAATGAGGAAATTAAGGGCTTACTAATTAAGGCCTTGAACCCGCCGGGAGAGAGGCTTCATCACACTCCTCCCTTTTGTGCCAGCCGCTATCTGGCCTTAGTAACAAAGACGTATAATCACAAAGATCACAACAGAAAACATTAAACTTACCACTCTCGTATAAAGGAAGATTAATTGTCGGATACGTAGTAAAGGTTTTTATAAAGAAAAGGGCCATTTTTTTAGCTTTGATTAGAGATGAAATGAAAGGAAGATCTAAAATTAAAAGGGCTGGTATTTAATATTTTATAGCTCATATTTACAATATGAAATTTTTTCATTTTGTATTGCGTGTATTCTTGGCATACTGAGTGCATCAAGTGCGAGCCCTTCGTTTTTTCCCACTATGCATCATATCGGAGCAGGGTGCCTACAGCAAGTTTTAAACGAATTTGACCTGTCTTCTAAAAAAGTGTCGTCTTTAATTTTTGGCAGTTTGTAGTCCACATTATGTACTGGAAGAAGGGTTGAGAACGGGCACACTGTGTATACCATGCACCCTTGTGATAGATGTTTAATATGTCTACATTTATATAATTATTGTGTTTGAGTAAATTGGCCACTTCTGTCCACTGCGAGAAAAATTTAGGACTTTGTCCAACGGCCTTTATTTGATAAACAAACCTCTGTGTATATTC